TCCAACTTATTTGAAACCTAGGACTGAGCTACATCAAAGTGAGGTTGTGAGGATGAACAGCAGACGAAACGTTGAAAATCATCCAGATGGTGATGAGATCAAACATACTACTAATTGACGAAAACGACTGCCTGTCTTTCTTGTTTGCGGCTCCAAGACCAGTAAAGTGAATGCATTTCTGGCCAACAATAGAGCAAAGCGTTGAGTACGACACCCATGCAGTCTTTGAAGTTTGGCTCCGGAGTGCTGAAAAATTACGCCTGCTAAGTTATTGATTAGATACTCCAGCAAGTGACTGAATTTTAAGGTATTGGTTTTCAACCATTGGGTAGACCAGGAACGTCACGCTAACGTGTCATGCAGATCAATGTGGATAATTTTAAAAGAAAGGGATGGAGACAGTAAATACCGTGCATATCAAACGAAATACGAATTAAAGCATCTACCTTTTGATCGGCAGCCTTGAAGGAATAAATGTGTTTGTCGACCAACTTTAATAATTCTTTCGTCGGACAAGTTTCATCCTTCTGAATCAATGCAACCAGGGCAGTGCTGAAGCCTTCCCTGGCTGACAGTGTTGGGGACCTGAGACCTTTTACGAGGCGTTCTAGGGCATACTCCAGTTGCTCCGCTTTATTCTTACAAAGAACTAAGTCAAAATAAAGAAATTACGGGATTGTTTGAAGAGAATATGTGTGAGATCAGTTTTTTGCAAGAAAACGAGCGAGTCCTGGCATCAGGGCTTCCCAAATTCCAAAAAATATCCAGAAACCCACGCCCTCCCTTTACAATATCCTCGCGCATGCTACTTTGTAATACGCGCGGTCATTTCGAGCTCACTTCTCAAGGTCCCGTACTTAGTTAAATGTATCGAGCCACATTCTGCATATGTTGACACAATTTCAAGCATTCAGATGTGAGCAATTCCTACCTTTCAGTTTTCCAGCCTCCTCAGAAGTTTGGGGTGTAAATTCTTGGGAGCGTTCCCTTTCCTGTTCGGATCGAGAACTGATGTGAATATTCGAGCCAAAATCCATCAAATGTAACAGGACAACCGCGAAGTATTTATAAGATGCCAGCAGGCTATCAGTAGCCGACGACTAATCTGGCTACAGAAACGCCAGCGAAACGCGTCCAGGTTTGAATTATTATTCGTGATGTCAGTATCGTGAGGCATGCAATAGCGGAAAAGTGTCGTCCTGGTATATGGGCCCATATTGCATCCGTGTTCTACACGGGCGAACTTGATATAGTTTCATCTATTCATGCGTTACGAAGGTGGACTTGTTTGACAAATTTAGTGCCGCTGTTAAGGTTTAGTAAAGGATAACATCAAGAAAAGGCTGATATTCGCATGGATATAAAAAAACACCTCAGCGTTAACTATGGAATTTTCATTAGATAACAAGACGTGCCTATGTAGCCACACCCTGCTACGGCTTTCTGCTTTCTTTCTCCTACTACGACTCCCTACCGACCCGAATCTCTGCTTTATTAATGCACATGAGTTCATTTCAGTTCTGCTTATTGAGGCAAATTGGTGTAAGTATTTGAGCACCCTATTTGAAGCGTAAAAATGCCTCTGGGCTAAAATAGCTCAAACGAGACAATAATGGTGCGACAAAATGTGAACGGGTTACAGGGGATGAGCTCGAACTCTCATTGCTCTTGGTCAATTCGGAACATTCTATCTTCCTGAAATTAAGTTAAGGCTCTATCGTATGTTTGTACTTCCAATTCTCGAGTATTGTTGCCCATTCTTTGGTTTGATGAATGAAGCCAGTCGTTTAAAAATTGAAAATGTCCAAAGACGTTTTTCTAAAAATCTTTTAGATAAGGAACATCCCAATATCTCCTACTCAGGTAGATGCCAGCTAATTAACCTAAAATTTTTATGGGGTCGACGACTAGAAGCAGGCCTCTGTCTCCTCTTTCGCATTAATCATAGTTCAAATTTTCCTCGGGTTTCAGCACTCACCCCTAGTAGTCGCCCATACAATCTTCGCAACTCTTCCTTGATTATACCTTCTCCAGCGTCCTCCACCTCTAAGCGCTCCCTTTTTTCGCTACCAGATATACTTTCCTCTGGCATAACCTTCCAATAAATATATGATCTTTAGAAAATCTACACACCTTTAAGAGAAGGCTACGCCTTTATGTGAATAATTCAATTCAATTCAATTATTTTATTAAAGACCCGTCGAGGTCCCATCAACGCAAGTAAAAATAAATTTACATGCAAATTTTAGACGATGTAGACAAAATCTGCACAAAGTGCAATGCATAGTTTTTGAGATTAGAAGTCCGTTAAGCAAAATGAAAATGAAAAAAAATGAAAAAAAACGAGGGGTGAAAAAAAAACTCCAAAGCAAAATTTAAAAATGATTGTAGTAATTTAACAGGAGAAAAAAAAACCCTCAGAAAAATAGCATCAGAAAAAAAACAGGGAGGACTGGCCTGCATGTGGCGGTACAAAATGGAATATAGTCCGACATCAACATGGCCGAAATAAATGTCAGCTGTATATGGCATTGCGTAACGGATTTCATAAAATGGTACGTAGGCGGGTCGGTCAGGACTGGCCTGTATCGCCTTGAATAAGAAAAATAAGTGCCGAAATTGAAAACCAGTCTCAAGCCGATAGGAACCCAGATGCGGTCAGTTTCATTCAACCGAGTCCATCCGAGCATGGGGGGAGATGCGATCAGACTACTAGTATATGGCGAATATAGAAGGCTTTGTCAAGACCACCGATGGAGCGCATTCTGTAAGGGCACGATGACAACCAGTCTCGAGGCGACAAGAACCCAGATGCGGTCTGTTACATTCATCAGAGTCCATCCGAGGATAGGGCAAAGGAGATGCGACCAGATTACTAGTATATGGCGAATANAGGAATTAAAGGGATCGGATCAGTTTCAATGGTGAAATGCTTGGCAAAGAACGAATTTAAAATTTCTGCTTTGCCTGACTCTTCTGTAATGAAGGCATCACTTGCACTAAGCAAGGGCGGAATGACTTGGTGGGACTTAGCAGATGATCTCTGACGGAAGATCTGAGCAACTGATTTAGAAGAATTCACATCATTAATAGCCAAAGACTCTCTACGCCTATCTCGCTCGAGCCTTATTTTCGAAGCTAGTTCAAATATTTCAACGATTCTTAGATGAACTGATAATGAACTCACAGAAGGATCTTTAAACTGCTTCCGTAACTTTTTAAGTCTGTTTTTAAGAAAGTGTGGGATAGCGGTGGAATTAGCACTCGGTTTGAACATCTTCCGAGGAATAAGGTCAAGAAGACCTTCTGTTACGCATTGTAATAAATTGTTGAAAAAATTTAGATCATTATTTGAAAAAATATTGTGCCAATCAAGAGTGCAGGTAAAGTTATTTACTAAATCCTTATTAACATTAGCAAAGTCAAAAATACTACGTTGAACTGTTGGCTTTGCGGAAATGGCAACTGGAAGGCGACAATGAATTAATGCATGATCACTTGCAAAGAGGTCATGATAAAAATCCACAGATAAAGGGAAGGTGCCATTAGTAAAAATTAAGTCTAAAACACTATCGTTTCTCGTCGAAGAGTGAACTAATTGAGTCAGGTTTGAAAAGTAAATTGTGTCAAGCAGCTTCTGGAATTTAGGAGGAGAAGTATGTGTGTGCCAGTCAATTTCTGGCAAATTAAAATCGCCTACGATTATCTTGACATCGAAAGAAGTTTCTGCAATATTTTCAGAGTTCACAAAGTTGGCTTTCATTTCCGGAGGGACAAGGAGGATTATATACACATCCGACTAAGGCTTTCCTATTTTGCGGAAGGATTACCGAAGCAAAACATAAATTTCCAGAGAAGGAGGAAATGTCCAAGTTATAAGGCGATTGTGCAAGTGATGCTCTTATGTAAAGAAGGCATCCACCGCCGCGTCTGTCGGCACGGTCCTGGCTCGATTAAACTTTTATTTTCATCATCCTTCCCAGACAATTTTTTCTATGACACTGAGAAAGGGCCACCGGGAATTTAGCATGCCGCCATTAAATTTTCGTATCTGTTCACATTTCCTTCCTTTATGAGTAGTCTCGCTTCCTAAAATCCCTCACCAGAAATGTTAATTTTTCCAATTTTTCAGTTCATGCATCGTGCCCACACAGAATGCGCTCCATCGATACTCTTGGCGAAACCTTCTGTATTCGCCATATACTAGTAGTCTGGTCTCATCTCCCTTGCCTCATCCTCGGATGGACTCGGATGAATGTAACCGACCGCATCTGGGTTCCTATCAGCTCGAGACTGGTTTTCATTCTGCCCTCACAGAATGTGCTTCGTCGACGCTCTTGGCGAAGCCTTCTATATTCGCCATATACTAATAGTCTGGTCGCATCTCGCTTGCCCCATCCTCGGAAGGACTCGGTTGAATGTAACCGACCGCATCTGGGTTCCTATCAGCTCGAGACTGGTTTTCAATTTCGCCATTTATTTGCCTTATTCAAGGCCACATACAGGTCAGTCCTGACCGACTCGCCTACTTACCCCTTTATGAATTCCGTTATACAGTGCCATATACAGCTGTCATTTATTTCGGCCTTGTTGATGTCCGACTATAAACCATTCTATACCGCCACATGCAGGCCAGTCCTGCCCGCATTTTTCTGATTCTATTTTTTCGAGGGTTTTTTTCTCCTGTAAAATTAATCCAATCATTTTTAAATTTTCACATGGAGTTTTTTTTCTCACTTCTCGCTTATCATTTTTCTTAACGGACTTCTAATTCAAAAACGATGTATTGCACTTTGTACAGATTTTGCCTACCTCGTCTAAAATTCGCATGTAAATTTATTTTTACTTGCTTTGATGGGACCCTGACTGGTCTTTAATAAAAATAATTCAATTAAATTAGCCTCTTCCGTGAGTTCACTAAACTGCTCGGATGTGCGCACATCACAACCACGGCATATCACCCTGCCTCCAACGGCCTCGTGGAGCGTCTACACCGTCAAATGCAGTCCACACTGAGGTCACCAACAGAATCAGCTTCTTTGAGAGACAACCTCCAGCTTGCGCTTTTGGGCACCCGATCTTCTGCCAAGGAGGACATCCACAGCACTGCCGCCGAACTTTTGTACGGTACACCCCTCCGTCTTCCGGGCGAATTTGTGCAGTCTTCCACGACGAACACCAACATCCCGAGCACCTTCGTACGGCAGTTGAAACAACTCATGGCTGAACTGCGTCCAACCCCCACACGTCTGACATCGAAACGTGTGTTTGTGCATGAGGACCTTCATCTTCTCCATTCGTTTTCGTCCGGCATGAAGCGGTTCGCAAGTCTCTTTGTTCCCCATATGATGGCCCGTATAGGGTTCTTCAGCGGATGGACAAGTATTACGTCATTCAGAAGGCTGAGAAAACTGACACAGTCTCCATCGACAGACTTAAGCCAGCCTATCTTGTGTGCGTCCCGCCGTCAGTTGTGCCACCGACTTCCTCTGCACCGTCCTCACCCGATCCACCCGTTTCGGTCGCCTCCACTGAACCACTACACTCTACCATCCCACCCACCTATCCTGATTCTCCTTCCACTCCACTACGCACCTGATCTCGTTCTGGTAGACATATCCATTTTCCTGCCAAGCTCAAAAATGTTTTGTGTAACTTTTTGCTTTTTATTATCGAGCGCTTTTTTGTACAACAAACGCTCTGGTGGGGGAGTTGTGTAGGTTTACGCACATTTTCGATTTTTCACTCTAAACTTTCTTGTACACCCGAACGTTTCTGTACTGTTGTTTAAACCAGCTAAAATACACACACCTGATTTCAACTTGTGAAAAAGCGTGCCTTTTGTGTCCGTCTGCTGCTTGGTGTCATTGTTTCGTTCATTGCACTCATTTGAGTTAATCGCTTTTAGTCAATCGACACGAAACTTTTATATCTTTTGGCCATATTTAACTGGACATAATTTCACCTGAGCGACAAGCCACATTCACAGACTCACAGTCACCCTACGGCCAACGATTGTGGAGAAGGCTTTATCTATCGTGAGTTTGTACAATTATTTACTTTTTGTCGTTTTTCTAATATTCATTTTGCTATCGTTATTTTTCTTGTAAGAAACGCATCATCCACCACTTGGAGTTAGATATTTATTATTGTTTGCAGTTTAATTGCCGTTTACACTACAACCATTTACACATGTGGGGTTGGAGATAGCATTGAAAATCTTAACACGTTGTGTGCGAGCGCCCAGGTCAGAGTATATAAAATTCAAAATTTTGCCACCTATTCCGAAGGGGGAAAGTTTCAAAAGAAGATGAGCATGGTCAACACGATCAAAAGCCTTAGTGAAATTTACAGAGAAATGTAGAAACCATTGTCCCTAGATTGGAGAACATGGTCAAAGAAAAATAGCTGACAGGTGTCACAAGATCGTGCTTTGAGGAATCTGTTGCTGTGCACGCTCAGGAGGTTATTCTCTGTTAAGTGCACATCATCTTATCTTTGACCAATGTCTCTAAGATCTTCCAAAGTGCTGGGGTGCGATGGTTATTGGTCGAAAATCATCATAAGACGTAGATTGGCCATACTTGGGAATGGGCAAAATGTTTGATTCATTCCACAAGGTAGGCTAGGTTTCGCTTTCAAGAGCGACATTAAATAACTTGTATATGGAATAAAATGGGTCCCAGTACTGCGACCTGGGGCACACCACTCTCGACCACAGCAGGATCTGATTTCTCTTGGCCGATTCACACAACCTGATATCGACTCACAAGGCAATTTTCGATCCATTTGAGGAGGTTGCCGCTAATCCCTATTTTTTCTACTTTATGTAAGAGGCTCTGGTGTGGCACAGTGTCGAACGTCTTCTGGATGTCAATGAAAGTTGTGTAAACCGCTTGCCTGTTGTCGAGAGCTCGGGTCCAATACTGGAGAGATTGCAGGAAGCTTGTCGTGCAGGAACTTCCTTTTCGGAACCCTTATTGGCAGTTCGATAGCAAGTTATGGACCTCCGGCAATTGCATCGATTCACTCTTCATGATCCACTTCATAAATTTGCAGAGAATGCATGTCAAGCTTGTGGGCCTGTAGTTTGTCGTCGCTGCCCTGCCACCTCCTTCGTATAGCGGAGTAATATGGGCCGGCTTCCAATCCATCGGCAGTGTTCCAGTGTCAAATGAGGTTTGAAAGGGCATCGACAAAGGCACAGAAAGCTCAAATGGAAGTTTCTTGAGAAGCTTAGGTGGAATCTCGTACGGTCCTGGCAACTTCGATTCGTTCATTACCTCTTATCCTCTTCGAACAATGCCTTCTGAAAAGAGTATATTAATGATGATTGTGGTCGGCAGTTCTCCCCTGGATTGAGGAGGAAACCTTGTCTCGTTTGTGTAGACTGATTGGAAGAGTATGAAAAACAGGCAGCTTTATCGCTGCTATCAGCAATGTCAACGCTATCCGTAGTCCTGATTAAGGGGATTTGGTGTCTGTTCCTTGTTTTTCTTCTGAGGTATATGTAGATCAATTTTGGGCTCTGTGTTGCTTTCCACGGCGAATTTTGACCTAATTCTACGCGCGTCTTTTTAAGCATGTGTCTGAGTTTGTTTCTTTGTGTCTTCCAGGTGTTGAAATACTTAACTTGCCCACTGACGCAATACTTTCTCCACAATTTGTGATTCATGTTAATTTCTTTCTTTAGGTTGTCATTTAGCCTTCCAGGCCGCCTCTTCCGTCTTACCTCCGTCAGTGGGCAGTGATTATTGATGAGCTGCAGAAGGACAATCTTAAATGATTCCCAATCATCGTTGGAATTGCCCGTAAACGTTGACCTGCAATCGAGATCGGATAAGTCTGCCCTCATCTCATTGAAGTCACCCCGCCAAATGTTGTGTCCTTTTGGTCTGGAGTATGCAAAATGGAGAATAACGAAGAATCCCACATGAGCACTACTTGGTCACTTCGGCCGAGGGTCAGCACGAAAATGACCTCGTTTATGCTGTTTGATAATTTTGTAAAGACTAAATCCAGGCAGTTAACTCTTTTTCCTTCACGTAGTCTCGTTGGAAACATTGCATGTTGCATGAGGAGCGCCCTTAATGTTTTGTTCAGCAAGCCATAATCGAATGTCGATTTTGGATTCACGCTTGGAGGGTGTTCCAACTTATTCCGGTTGCTTTTAAGTCACCCATGATCATGATGTTAGGCCGGCTGGAATATTTCCCCAAATGCTCCAAAAGATGTTTGTCGGGGATTTGGTCGGTCTTGGGTGGTCGGTAGACAGTGAGGACATCGAGACACGGGGAACCGGTAGCCTTGATGGTTAACCAAATAGCTTTCGTGCTGCACGCAAAGTTGGTTTTCTTTTCCAACGCCGTCAGACCCTCATTCAAATACACAACTATAACCACCCTGACGATGTTTCCCGTCCCTCCAATAAATTTTGCATCCAGGCAAGGCTATTTCGCTATCGTTAATAATCCCGGAGAGCAAGGTCTCGGATACTGCTAAAACAGCCGGGGACAGTTCGGCAAGGCAAAGTTTATCCCGTCAAGTTTCGGTATGAGACTTGGGGCATTTGTATACCAGCACGTCAATTTTAGATTAGCCGGATTTCCGCACACGTACCCCTCAAGGTTGCCCTGACTATGCCCAATTATAATCTGTTATATACCGCCACATGCAGGCCAGTCCTGTCTGCATTTTTGCGTTATTGTGTGCGACGTTTTTTCCTCCTGTAAAATTAATCCAATCATTTTTAAATTCTTAAGTGGAGTTTTTTTCACTGCACGCTCATCATTTTTCTTGACGGCCTACAAATCCAGAAACTATAAATTGAATTCTGTGTAATCTGTGCTTCTGTTGTTTGTTTCTTTAAAAAGGATCAACTTGATTTGATCGTTGTGAATTTTGAGTGGGCGAGTTGGAAAAGCTGCTGTCCTGTCTTCACTCTGTCTCCCTACCCGGAACACTTTTGGAACATTTTTTCTACGTCTGCATGGAGTGATTGGTTTAGTATACGATGAAAAGAACCATGATCATCCGGGGTACGGTGTTCAGGTCTGACTACTTTCGATTCAGACAAACCCTGAATAACCAGACACTGTTGGCGGTCACGATCCCCCCTATTTTGTTTTCCGGTGAATTTTCTGCATGGGGATGAGGACCACTTATGGGGACGTCGCTTGGGCTCACACATCTGCTGTCAGCGAACTGCCCCGAACAACCCATCAGGGTAGGTTGTAACTTCAGACTCCTGTTGTGGAGTTTCCTCGTTCCCCCATTCACGAGGTCCTGTGTTCGCATTCAAATGTTTGCTCTATAGAGCACTCGAGGTGGTTGCGAGAACAAGAGGGCAACGACAGACTGGGTGACCTAGCTATGTCGTTCTTTGGAAACAGAAATCCCGTCGCTTTCAGAAAGAGGAGTAAGCTAGATGGCTCCGGCGACAGACACTATTTTTGCTACATCGCTTTAGTCGTCTTGCAAGGGAATCAAGTCTGTTCTTATCGGTGGCTTCGTTTTTGAGTCCTGTTGTTACCAGCACCCGCGTCTTTACTTACTCAGTTGTAACCCCTGTTTGGAAATGCTCTCAGTACGACATTTTTTCGCCTTTTCCGCGTTTAGCTCTCCGTTTTTGGACCTTAACAGTGGCAGCATTCGGGTAAACAAGGTTCTGCTGCACAGGTGTCCTTAAGCCATTGGGCTCGTTTTCACGCTGTCTTATTTTGATTAGGGTATGTGCGCACCCACCACAAGGCTCATTTTTGTACCACACACATTTCGCGGTAATGACGTTTTTGGCAGGCTTTGCTGGGTGTTGGCTGGAAGCACAGAGAGAACGAGCGCAGATTCTGGATGCGAAGGACACCTCACCAGACTTGTCTTCCAACGAGGTGCAGGCGCTGGCCGTATTATTACAGTAGGATTACAGAGACTCCATAAACTTCGCAATGAGAGAAAAGGTATATTTCCGCTGTCGATGTTATAGTGAATACTTCGGATCGTGGATAAGTGTGCCGTCCTTCAAATGCGTCCAACCAACTCTCATTCAAATGAGAGCCTGAGGACATATCACCTGAAAGATAAAAGAATCCCCACAGAATCTTCACAGAAGGATCTCGAGGTTTGGATTCAGAACAACCTGAAACCAACACTGCAGTGCCACAAGGCTGCAAAAACGCCATGGGAGTGCTCCATGCAATCAAAAGGGTGTTCAAAACCTCTGACCAAGACCTTTTTGGGACAGTTTACGGCACATTTGTTCGGCCCCACCTAGAATATGGCCTACACGCATGGCGGCCATGACTACTAAAGGACCAAGCATGCCTCGAACGGGTACAACGGTGTGCAAAATAACTGGAAAACGGTCTAAAAAGCCAATCCTACACAGGCAGACTGAATTGCCTACAAGCTGTTTATTTTCCGTGTACGGAAAACCATGTATTTCTCTACGGTTTTAAGAGGAGACAATATGAGGTTCATAAAATTAAGCAGTGGATTTGAGCAATATCGTTAACTTTACAAGCCACATTCGTTAAAGCAGATACAGGACGTTTCATGAACGGCCATTTAGCGGTATTAAAAAATCTCACAATTAGAAACTTT